AGGATCTGGAGGAGGGGCTCTCCATCCCCCCTTACTTCAGAGCATACTACTTCTACCAACAGTTCATATTCATTTGTACTTAGAGAAGGGTTGTTATTAAATAATAATGATGATAATAATCCTTAGACCCATCTCGTTCTTTTCCTGGGATTTATCCATTCCTAAATGGGTGGATGTGGGGTGGCAGGAGAGGAGAACACAACTTCTCAAGAAAGTTGGCCTTCAATATTGAATCAGTTGCAAGGTGAGAATAAGGAATGAGGTAAATATACTCACAAATAAATTCAAATTTACAATTTTTTTGAGTGTTTACTTGTTTACTATCTGCCAGGCACTTAATTAGATATCAGATATAAAAAGATAAATAAGTTAACATTTTTGTTCTTATGCATCACAGCATTCAACTGGAGAAAAGGACAGTTTGTCCCAGACACTTAGAGCTATATCTTAGGTCAGATTTCCCAGAAGCACAACCTACGATGGAGGTCGTTGTGCAAGTAATTCATTGATGGAGTGTTTCCAGAAGAAACCTAGAAGGAAGTGGGGGAAGCAAATTAGGATAGGGAAGAAGCCAAGCAGAGATGTAGGTTCAGCTAAATCTGGCCTCAGGCTGATTTCCAGGGACGCTCTGGAGTATGAAGAATACCACTGACTCGTCCCACCTTGAGTCACGAAGCTGTGCCTGTATGCTCTTGAATCATCCAGTCAGTTAATGAGGGCTTTCCTCCTAGGCATTTCTGGGCTCCTATTGGCCCAAGACAATTCTCTGGAGAAAGATAAATATGGACCATTAACAGCCAAGACTTACAGTAGCTCAGAGATAAGGGCGTTGGCTCAGTAAAGGTGGCCAGGGTAAGGCAGAAGCTTCCACTGGGTACAAAAATAAATATAGCATGGCTTTGCACCCAGGTAGGTCAGTCTCATTGTGTTGAGTAACACTAAAGAAACAGCTACAACACAGTGTGACAAGTACAATCTAAGAATTTGTCCAAGCAGGTGTGCACAAAAGAATGATTATCTAAGTACATGTTCACTGGCACTTTGTCTCATTGTACAAAATACTGGAGATGTTTTTTTAAATAGCTTTTTTTTCTGGTGGTAAAGATCATGGTCATGGGAGTCCCTTCAGAGAAGGCAATAACCAAGGTAGATTTACAAGTAATTGACTTTTAAAATATAGTACAGGTGAATGGGGATTTATTAAGAGTGCAGTGTCTAATCTAACTAAATTAGACTCAATTTTAGTGAGAACTCTTTTTCAACTCTATTGACATTCTATCCCATAATGGCATATAAGCACTTACATAAAGATAATAAAATATGTAATATTATATCACAATATATATAATATTTAATTATATTAAATTTTAAAATAATATATGATATATTAATTAACTATATATTATTATATTATATTAACTGAGACTTTAAGAAATGAATAAGATCAGATTTTAAGGAAGCAGGCCACTTGCAATCCAATGATAAAAGCCTTTCCACTATAGAAACCACATGGTGACAGTATTCTCTTTGAGAACTAGAAGGAAGCTATCAGCATGCATGAATCTAATGCTACCAAATATGAGTCAAGATTTGTTGAAAGATATAGATACACTTTGCTTTAATAATGGACTTGGCCTGTCAAGTTAAATGATTGAGGTGTATTTTCATGAAACATTTTCCAAAGGTAGTATATGATATCCAGTGATATTTTCATTTAATGATACATTGTTTGATTTGATCCATCTTGGAAGTAATGTTGGCTCTGAGCTGGTAGAACCTCCAGTAAAAATAGACTTAACCCAGAACATGGAACATCTCTAATTAGCAACAGGTTTTCAGTTCTTATCATGTACTCCTCCAGAGCTTATTTAGTCCCAGTGGTAATAAATAAAAGTTATGTTTCAGTGTACTTATCTGATGCCCTGCCTACTCAAATATCCATACTTTAAGAACACAACAGAATTAAGTGAGATTTCTTATATGTGTGCCTTAGTATCAGTTTCTCTGGTTTCCATAGTCATTTTAAATCCTAAAATATAGTGCTTGGCTTAGAGTTTGACAAACTGGCAGGCCATTCATTTAATTGTGTTCATTATTTATTACTTGAGATTTTCATATTTCATATCCTTTTTTAATATTCTTTCCAATATCTTCCTAGAATTTTCTTCTAATTTGTAACCTGAAAATGTGTATTTCATACAAAAAAAAAAGAAAAGAAACTTTCTGTGATCTCCACAATTAAATTACCTTCTATATTTGCTTATTTTACTTTCCATGTGAATGAACACTTTTAAAAATTGCTTATATATCTGACATTCTATTTAAGAGACAAAGTTACGTTGTCTTAAGTGTGGCATCCATTCCTCCATATTTGATAGCTTGGGTGGCAGATGATCACAGACAGAATTTCTTATGATGAGAGAATAAAGGACACACAAATAGACACTCAAAACACCAACACACACACTCATGGGTAAATGACTCTAGGACAAAAGGCTTGGTTGAGGTAATACTTGGAGCTTGCCAGCAATAGACTTTTACAAAGGCTTCTGGAACAAAGCTACACTAGGAACTATTGGCAATTTATGTCTCTGTGAATTTTGTTATTTTTATTTATTCTTTCCTGAGACAAGGGAATACAAGAGGTCTTATTACATATAACAAGGACAGACAGGCACAGGAAAATCAATCATTTTATTTGCATAATTTATTTCCTTTTATTTGCATGCTTTCCCTAGGGGTAAGTGAGTAGTTTACACTTTGGGAGCTATGCCTCTCAAGGTTGTGTCTCTGTAAGCAAAGTGGAAAGTTTGCAGTAAGCATCTGGGTAATTTATGAGAGAGGGTAGAAAGAATTCCTGCAAGGGCATTCTCTCTTAGCCAAATTGGCTAAGAAAACTCTGATTAACCTTCTTGGGTATCTGTTCATGTCTATTTCACTGACAATACTTAGACCCAATAATTCCTCTGTGGTTGCAATTAAATCAGAATAGGTCTTGCATTGGCCTGTTTCTCTTTTATATCTTAATATTTTGGTTTTGAACGGGAGAAAGCAAGAATTTGGGGGCACTTTCATCTCTTATGGTCAGTAACATTGTCCTATGTTGGTTACCCCAGTTTGTTTTTTCCTTTAGGGTGCATGGCAGCTTTTAAAGTTTTCTGGTGACAGCACTTCGATTTTCCTTTAGTGAGTGTCTCCTCTTTCACTCTCCGGCCACGTGGTTTGGATAAGACAGTGCTCCCTCCTCATCCCGTCACCCATTCTGGACCCTTGAGGAGGTTACCTGACCCAGCTGATCACCAAAACACCCCATCCACATCACCAGGATGGGAGCCAGATCCAAACTGGGCCAAGCCACAGTATTCCTGTCTTTGAAACCAGGCAATTCAATTGATACTTTTGTAGGAAGACAGAGGGAATATCTCTTTTCTCTTGGTTTTAATTAATAAGTAATTATAAAATGAAGAGACATTTTCTCATTCTCATTCTATTATTAAAAATATAACATTAGGAGCCATGCTCACTATGTTTGGTTCATCAACTAATACAATTTCCACAATAATTCTCTGAGAGGTACTTCTATTATCCTCACATGTGAGAAGCTGAATCTTAGACATATGAAGTAGTTTTTTGAAGGTCAAATGTTAATACATAAATGGCAGTCTGGCTGGACTCTACTAGTCTCACCCAAAATTCATGTTCTTAACCACCACATGTCATCTATGGGCATTGTAGTGAGCTGAAGGAAGGCCTACATTTAACATTTGTACAAACATCAAAATGAAATGTATATTTGGAACAGAGGAATGAATTGGGGGAAAGTCCACCCTAGAGAATCAGAGTGACCTTAGTCTCCCAGTTAGTAGAGGTCAAAATCTTCACATCTTGAGTAGTGGTGGGACAGAGGTGGGCAACATTCAATTGAAGAAAAAAAGATAAAAGAAATTATATTAGAGTGGATTTGGTGATTGGCCCTGTACTAGAATATACAGCTGAGTAAAGGAAGATGTCTCTAATATTTATTTTTATTAATTTTATTTATTTAATTATGGATACATTTAATTTTTGGAAATATTCCCAGATGCCCTTCCCTGCTGGGGAACCCAACAGTTTTTTAAGTAGTAGCCTTTCCCTCTTAAGCTGACAGGAAGCCATCTGAATTCTTCAGTACCTCTGCTAGAGGCTACATCTAAAGGATTTTATGCTGAAGTACTGTGATATATTTGGGAAAAATACAAGGAATCAAGGCTCCAATTCAACTTAATTGATTACTAGGTATATAATACTGTGTGAATTATTTGATATTGCTAGGTCTAAGTTTCTTTAACTATAACATGGGGATGTATATACAACATTTAGATGAACTTATAAACATGAAGCGCACCTCAGGTAAGAATTCACTCTCAACAAATGTTAGTTTTTTTCCCTTCCATGGTTTCTCAGTTTGTCTTCTCACTTATCAAATTGGAGTAACAATATTTGTAGGACTGATGATTCAGTGGGAGAACATATATTAAAAAATGTTTGGCTTCTTAGATGTCTAATAAATGTCGAATTCCCCTGCCTTTCCTCTTGCATTCTTAAAAATGTAAGTGGCCTCCTACCTTTATTGACAAAAGTATTCCTCTAGTGAATTCTAAGAAAAAACATCCTACATGCTTAAATAATTGCATTCTTGACTCAGGGCCAGTTACAGCTCCCCACTTTGCCTGGAAAGACACAATAAAAACTTAAAGACAAAGTAGGAAGCAGATCACAGGGACATATGTATGATGCGTGATATATAATGGAACTAGTTAAAACTTTAGGTAGGATTTTATTTATATTTGTATATATCCTCAGTAGGCTTGATCAGTATTATCCTGATCTTATGAAAATCAGAGCAATGCTTTGGAACCATAGACAGTACAAGGAAAAACCAGTTACCTTATTTGTACTATAGAAAAAGTGATTTAGAAATAAAATTTTTATTCATTTGTCACACATATTTTTTGTAATATTGGGCCCAAACCATGAGTTATAAAGAAGCCCTGCTAGAAAGTAATTTTCTACTCTAAGTCCATTCTATTTTCATGTATGCTAGAATGATGAATAATATAGTGTAGAATTGCTTTTTTTCTGATTTAATACTACCATAGGAACTCCTCTCTAGAATAATATCAATTAAAATTCTCTGTGGCAGATGTGGGTTGTGGGCCTGGTCAAAAGGCATAAACTCCCAACCCCCACTATGATTGTTTTCATAGAGGATTTCTAGACAGTACTTTGAATGATCTCAGCCATGCATTGCAGTTAATGAAGGAGGCACAATTTCATATCAGGCTTCTTAACTCCTTGGCTGCTGTGGAATATGGCTTTATTTTTCATTTGGTGGGCTGGAACATCCCCTCAGATTAGAGAGAAGGCAGCCCTTTGCAGTTTATAAGCACGGCTCTGTTAGGAGTAAGTAATAATGGCATGGACTCTGATTTTTTATAGTCAATTTTATTTCTGCTTTAAGGAACAAATTCTTCATTACATTTGGAAGCAGAAGCAGAATGGCTGTTGGTAAAAGTTAAAGCATGAATAGCATCAGCGAAGGTAATTGAAATCTACACATTTAAGTCTAATTCTATTTGAGGTATTTTTCCAAATAGGTATTAAGCCCCTACTATATGCAAAAGAGTATGCTCAATGCATATGAGTGTATCAATATCCATTATCCGGATTGGTCCACCACTATTGACTATGATCTCCCAATATTATGTAGTTACACAATTCAACTAGTCATGGATAACTTGGATCTTCTTCTTGTCCTCTTTTTTTACCCATAAAGTTTTAGAGCCAACTTACACTCTCAGAATATATTTGCTTAAGTAGAAGCTAATTTCATGAGGGAGACCTCCTGTTCCAACAGTATATCAAGGAATCAAAAAGAAATGTTTTCTGTTCAGCCAGCCTTTCTTTCCTACCAGGATGATCTAGAGTTGACTAGTGTGACATGCATATTCTCCCAGTGATTCCTGCCACGGGTGTTCACCTTTTCATGCAGTCCCTTCCCATTGAATGTGTCCTTGCCCAGTGACTTGCTTCTAAACATTAGAACATGAAAAAATAATGGGATGTCACCTCGGTAATTAGGTTACATAAAATTGTGACTTCCATCTTGCCAGCAGATGGAAACTAATGCCTTCTCAATTTGTATATTGCCATGTTGGGAAGGTACACATGGCAAGAAACTGAGGTACACTTCTAGCCAATAGCCAGCTGAATAGACCATGAAATAACAGATTCTGAAACAGACAATCCAGCCAAGCTATGCCTGAACTCCTGACCCACAGAAACTATGAGATAATAAGTATTTATGGTCTTAAACTGCTAGACGTGTGATAATTTGTAAGGCAGCAATAGACAAATAATACCATCAGATAATCGCCAAACCTTTGTTTGAATTCTCCTCAGCCCTACCACTAACATAACTAATAAACTACTAAATTTTTACTTTACCTTATCTTGCTTTTGCTCTTATGGAAACACCATTAAATAGTAAAATGGTTGCAAGACTAAGGGAGCATAAGCATTGTTCCTAGAGTTTCTGGTGTCTTTTCCTGGGTCAACTATTGGGGAAGTTTGGTTGTCTAGTAACACCCATGGGTGATGCAGTGAGGGAACACTCTTTTACACTGCTTATTTCACTTCTGCTAATGTTACACTTAATCCCTTTGAGCCTCTGTTCTTTTATTTATAAAACAAAAGCAGTAAGAGCAAAAAACCGACCTTTGTTGAGGTCTACATTGTGTTGAGTTGAGTGCTTTATATTCATAATCAATTTTAATCATCACAATAAATCTTAATCTCTGTGCCCAGAATTTCTGAGACAAAGATATATGGGGAAAAAAAGTAAAAGTGTATTATCAGAGTGACGTCAGTGAGATGGCAGAATAGAAAGCCCCAGACTCTTCACGCCCCCACAAACAGACAAGTTCAACAGCAAAACATGGACAAATTTCCTTTGTAAGAAATTCAGAAACTAGGTAAGAGGCTTGTGGACCCTAGGAAAGCATAGAACTAGCCACATTGAAGTCAGTAGGGGAATTTAAGGCACCTCTCACTACAGTCCCTACCCCCAGCACAACACCGTATGACCAAGAGGAAATCCCCCAGATCCTAGCCTCTGTCAGGAAAGAGGAAGCATTGGACCATACATCCAATTCCCCAACTTTTCCAGAGGCTTCCTAAAAGGGTAGCTGCTATCTTGCCTGTCCCAGAGCGCTAATGGGACCTGGCATACTCTAGCCACCTCAGTACCAGTGAGAACAGAGATGGTGGTTTAGGTTGGCATTACCATCGCCCTCACCCATATCGGCATAGAGTGAGCAGAGGAAAGCATGAGCTCCTGGTCTCTTGATATGGAAGGAAAGAGTTGGTTCACACCCTCAGTGCCCTAACCTTTCTGGAGACAAGCCACAGGGCTGACTTCTGTCTTTCTGTCTTAGAGCAAAAACAGGATCTGGCACACTCTTTCTGCCTGGGAGCAAGTGAGAACAAAGATGACACTTTGAACTCATAGCTGCTGTAACTCCTTCCAACGCAGAACAGGACAAATGGGCAAAGAACCCCAGCTTCCAGCTTCTCCCTGCACAGAACATCCAGTGATCCAGCTCTTCTGGAGGCTGGCTTCCGTCTTCTCATCTTGGAACACTGATGGGATTTGACATGCTCTTGATGCCTATGCGCCACTAAGGACAAAGAAAGGGAGTGCGACTAGCAGGAAGACTGGAAAGGCCACCAAAATCTCTGGCCAACCTGAGACCCAACAGGTCCCAAGTAAAATGAACCCAAAGAAATCCATACTGAGACACATTGTAATCAAACTGACTAAAAGTCTAAGACAAAGAATTTTGAAACCAGCAGGAAAAAAATGACTTGCCATGAGAAGGAAGGAATCCATTAAACTACCACTAGATTTTTCAGCAGAAACTTTGTAGGCCAGAAGGGAGTGGGGCAATATATTCAAGATCCTGAAAGGACAAATCTTGCCAACCAGGAATACGATAGCCCTTCAAAAAGGAAGGAGGGAGAAAGTCTTTTCCAGGCAAACAAAAGCTGAGAGAGGTCATCATCACATATACGCTTTATAAGACATGTTCAAGGGAGTGCTTCAAGTTGAAACAAGAGGACTTTACTGAGCAATATGAAAGCATCTGAAAGTGCAAAAATCGCTGGTAAATATATAGACAAATACAGCATAATACTGTGATGGTGTGATTCTGTGCTGGTGGTGGGTAAATCACTTTTAATTCTAGTATAACAGTTAAAATACAAAGATTTTATAAATAGCTAGAAATAAAAAAACATGCTACTGGATACATATTTTTAAATATGTTCATGTGACATCAATGGGATGTGTGCCAGATCCTGTTTGTGCTCTAAGACAGAAACTAAAAGTATTGAGTTTTTGTATGTGTTTAAAGTCCAGTTATCAGTTTAAGAGACTATTAAAAGATATTTTATGTAAGCTCCATGGTAACCACAAAGAAAATACCTAGAGAAGATACACAAAAGAAAAAGATAAAGGAATCAAAGCGTATCAATGAAAAAAAATCAGTGAAACACAAAGGAAGACATAGATGAACCGGAGGATGTTATGCTAAATGACATAGGACAGTCACAGACAGACAAATACTTCATGATTCAACTTATATTAGATATCTAAAATAGCCAAGTGCATAGAGGCAGAGTAGAACAGTGGGTTTAGGGGAGGGGGTAGCTGGGGATAGTTGTCCAATGGGTATGAAGGTTCAGTTACACAAGATGAGTCAGTCCCACAGATCTGCTGTACATTGTGCCTGCAGTTAACAGGACTGTATTGCACACTTAAAATTTTGTTAAAAAGGTAGATCTCACGTTAAATGTTCTTTTAAAAAAATTAAATTGTCAAGGGCATTCCTCCTGAGGGTAAATAAAATTTAATCCTTCTGGGGAACAAGGGGAGGTTATATAGAACAAACACCTTGGTTATTTTGCTCAGGGGATGAGGTAGCTCAGTGATTACCATGCATTCCTCAGTCATTTTTACTTGAAGGCCCATGGAGGAAGCTAGGTGGCGTTAATTCCCACAAAACTGCCAGCCCGTCCCACGTGTGAACAGAAAGGGTTTCCTGGTCAGAGAAAACCTGAGGCAGGTCAAAGGTGCCAGCTGGGCAGTTAGAAGTTGGGCAGAGCAGGCATGGGTGTGGTTAAGTCTGAAGGATGTAGGCAGAACACCAACGATATTGACTTCATAGGTGTGATTCTTGTTCCATTTAGCAAAAGGGGAAACTGAGCAAGAAAACGTAGAATCCTTGCTCGGTCTCTCAGTTTCAGTAGAGCAGAGCTGAGAATAAAAATCCAGGGAGGATATGAAATAATACTTATCCTACAGGATTGTTGTGAGCTTAACTATACTTCAAATGCACCTAGCAAGCAGTGAGCATTCAGTAAATAACAGGCTCCCCATAATTGTCATGCTCCCATATGCCTGGAGTTTTCCAACAAGAGACTGGACAGCTTGATCCATAAAGGACCAGGGGCCCTGTGTTTTAATCTCAGCCACACCAGCAATAACAATGATTTGGAGCATTGTGATACATTTACTGATTTCTTTCTGGTGTGGTAAAAAAAAAAATCAGTTCTTCCCCTTTAAATGTAATTTTGATGAAACAGTGAAATAGTAATCTTTCTTAAAAATCTTGAAATTAATGAAAAATGAAGTGACACATTCTTTTATATGACTCAGCATTTTTTTGTATCATTAATCTACAATTACATGAGGAACATTATGTTTACTAGGTTCCCCCCTTCACCAGACTCTTAGCATTTTTGTACCCTCCTTATCTCTTTCACATACACCTATTAATGCCTGGTCGCTACCATAGTTAATATACATTGCTATATACAATATTTTAATTAAAGTTTGAATAATGTAGGAAAGACACTATCTTTACACAGCCTTGAGAATCCAGTGTGATCAAATTTTTAAAACTTTGACAGATGAAAAGGATACCTCAAGATAATTCCTTTTACTAGTAAGATTGAATATCTTTATATACATTTTAGGGCCACTGCTATTTTCTTTCTTTAATAATATGCATTTTCCATTGAGTTAGGCAGAAATTTAAGGTGAGAATTCAACCTAGGTGACAACTTGATTTCAGCCTCATGAGACCTGAAGCACAGAGCCCGGTTACACCATGTGAGACTTCTGATCTCAGCACTGTGCAAATATGTGATGTTTTAAACTGCTGAGTTGGTGTTAATTTATTACACAGCAATAGGAAAGTAGTGTATCCATGTTTCTACATAACATTCATATTTATTTTTAAGACCATCACAGAATATGCCATCATTTGCCCCTGGCATAATTATTTCTTTACAGTTGATCATTTAGGTTGCTTTTAATTGTTTGCTATTATAAATACTACAGTAATGAACATGTCTATACACATAGCTTTCCCCATATTTATCTTTTATCATTTTATTTGCTTTTGTATAGAGCAGATAATATATTACCTGTTTCAAAATCCAAATGTACAAAATGATGAACAGTGAAGAATTCTCATTTTATGCCTTGACTGTACAATTTCCCAAGCCCCAAACAATCCAAGTATTAAATTATTTTGAATCCTTCTTGAGACATTTTGTCTTAATGGTCACATACCATGTCCATTCTTCTGCATCTTGCTTTTTCACTAAACAATATATTTTGAAGACTTTCTATATCAGCACCTAAAGAATATCCTCTCTCTGGCTGAATAATATTTTATTGTATAAATGTACCAAAATTATTTAACATTTTTGTTATTTAACCATAAATATGCCATAATTTATTCTGTTGTATAAAGTACCACAATGTATTTATGGCTGGACATGTAAGAGTTTTGAAAATTTTGTTCCTGGTCACAATGGGCAGATAATATGGACCAAATTCCCTTTTGGACAACCCAAAAAGCTAGTAAGTGCTTTTCATTTTGTTTTGTTTTGTTAAGATGCCTGCCTGAAGATAGCAGAGAGCTAAGAAAAGAGTTCTGAGGAATTACTTGGTCAGTTGCTGAGGGGAATGGATACTCACAACTAAGAGCCCAGCATTTGAGACTGCTTTACACCTGCTCAGTGAGAATGCTGAGGACTTTGGGACAATCTCGTGGGGCCAAGAGGAGTCTGGGCCCCTCCAAGGCAGCAGAGCCCGGGTCAGTCCCTCGGCTTTGGGACAGCACTCCAGGGATGGGAGTGAGACAGCCTGGGAGTGAGAATTAATCTCAAGTGACAAACCTCATAAGGAACTGGCCACATCCTCTTAATTCCTGAAAGTGAATTGAGATGATCCAACATTGTTAATAGCTCTTGGCTGAAGCAAAGGTAAACCTTCTCTTAACAACAAGCTTGGCTTCAGATTATTTTTAGAAACAATTTTACAGATACAAAGTCCCCACCGCTAAAACCAGCCAAAGCAAACAAACAACACGGGAGGAGACATGACAACCTGAGAAAAATTATTAGAAACCAAAAAAAAAAAAAAAAAAAGACATATCCACAGGGGTCCCAGAATTTCAGAGACCAACTTGAAAATAAGTTTCTATTGTTACTATGTCCAAGGCAGCAAAGGAAAAAAAATAATAATGATTTAGTGGAGAATTGGAAGCAATATTGTTTTTAATCTTTTGCTCTAACAAATAGGGCAACACTGGATGTACCTGTGTGCAGGTGAATTTGTATACAGGAGGAACATGTGGACTTGGTATGGTATTTCTGTTTAAAGTGCATGCAATTGTAATTTTGATAGCTACTGATAAATTGTTTTCCCTAGAGGTGTTACCAATTTACATTTCTCACCAGCAATATGAGAAATTGGCTATTTCCTAATACTTTCTACAATCCATATGTTAACAAATTTTTAAGTATTTTCTAATATGTGTGAAAATGCTATCTCAGTGTAATTTTTGTGTGAATTTATCTCTTGTAGGTTAAACATGATTGTATATGTTTAAGGGCTAATTTTTTTTCTTTTTATTACCCTCTTTTGTTGGATTGTTGATCTTTTCCTTAATGATTTATGGAAGCTCCAGAGATATTAGGGAAATTGATAGTTGTTTTTTAAGATATAAATTGCAAATTCTTTTCTCATTTTACATTTGAGAATTTTGACTTTTGTTACTGGGAGTTTTGCCATGTCAAAAGTGTTCATTGTCAAATTTTCATGTTTTTTATTTCTTACTGCTGGGTTTTATGTCATGTTTTAGGAAGACCTTTATCATTCAAAGATTATGTATCAAAAATTGCTACCATGTTTTTTCTTTCACTTTTATGGTTTCCTTTTTAAATTATATTATTGATCCAACTAGATCTTTCTTTTGAATGGCCATCCAGTTATTCTGAAACCATTTATTGAATAATCCTTCTGTTCTTCACTGACTTGAAATCCCACCTTTATAATAGTCTTAATTGCTGTATATAGTGAGGATCATTTTTTGAGGTTTTTTGTTGTTCTTTGGATCTATTCACATATCTGTAATATGCTTTGTAAATTATTTTCCCTTATACAATATTTTATTGTCTATTAAGTCTTGCCTTTTTCAATATTCTTCTTTTTTAGAATTCTCTGGATATTCTTATTTATTCTTTTACATTGACTTTGAAATCACCTCTTTTGTTTCCCAAATAAACCTGTTTGTATTTTTAGTAAAGTTACACTAAATTTATAGATTGATTTGGAAAGAATTTGACATAGATTATTTTCAACCAAGATCATTGTATGCCTTGCATTTGATCAAATGTCTTAGTCTCTTGAAAGAATCTTAACAGTTTTCTTTATCTAGATTATAAACACTACAAGTACTTTCTCTTAGTTTTTTTCTTTTGTTCCATTGTGGATTAAGTCTCTTTCCTTTATGCCTATAAACTGGTTTTTGTTTCTATGTGGAAGGCTATTAATTTGAAGATATGAAATGTTTGACCCATCTTCTTGCCAAATTTGCTTGTTCTTTATAATAGAAAAACTACCAAACAAAAATGGAAGAAAATCTTTTTCTGTACATTCTCTTTGGTTTTTAAAATATACAATAAAATAATAAATATTCCTTCTTTCTAATTTTCATACTTTTAATTTCTTTCTTTGGCTTCACTGTATTGGATTATACTTCCAGAACTCAAGTTAAATAGCAGTACTGATTGTTATTTATTTATCCTAGATGAATAACAAGAATGAGGCTACTGATTCAAGTAAAATAAATCATCTATTATTTTGGTAAGTGAGAAAATGACCTTCTGGTTTTAATTTACATTGGCTGTATTACTAGCAAGTTTTAACATTGTTTTTTCTTTACATTTCCTGTTTTCTTCTGGGCCTCCAGTGTAAGGTAGAGTTGATCATGTTTGCTCAGATCATGGAACATTATCACTTGTGGGCCATGCAAGCTCCCTCATATTTTAAGAAATTATTTATCTTCATTTACCACTATATTCTATATTCTTATCCATTATAAGTTACCATCCCTGGGATGGGTGTTTTACCATGTGTCTTACTAAGTACTATGTTTCTAAAACCCATCCTATTACTATGTGAAAATCTGATTTGTAGCTCTACTGTCTTATTAAATTTCCTGGTGTGCATGCATCATGTTTTACCTGCTTGTACTCCAGCTGATGGACTCTCAGTTTACCTCTAACTCCCTGCCAAATTCTCTCCCTATACCTGTGGAGATGGTATGAGCATTTCTTTGGGATCTTCACTCCAGATCTTTGGTTATATGAATATATGCCAGTAGTACCAGCTGGCTCCTCAGAATGACATCACCAGTCCTCACTCTTATCAATAGGGCATGAGAACTGTTAAACTCCCACAATCCCCACCAGTACTTGTATAAAAGATGGTGTATACGCTGATTCCTTGCATTTTAATTTCCCTGTGTAATAATGATTATTCATATGTTTTTTCTAAGTATTCATTTTTAAATATATCATCTATATTCTTTATAAAAAATACCAGTTTCATATTATTGATACACAGGTTTCTCAATATATTATTAATGTTTGAAAGATTTGTAGGGTTCCTTCAAGCATTATAAATTTGCAATTTATAAAACATTTTTAAAAAGCTTCTATCAGCAGTTTCTACTTTTTGTGAGAGGGATTACCTTTTAATTTTTCCACAAGCTGCTTGTCTAAATACAACAGAGAAGTAGCTAAGAATTCCAAAAAAATCTAGGATAAGGATGAGGGGGCTCCAGGAAGTCAATGTAGGCATGGCGATCATTTTAGAAGTATATTTACTCATCATTTAATAAACATCTAGTAAACTTATTATGTGCTGGGCACTATACTAAATGTTGATGATACAGAGATGAGTAAGACAGTTACCTCCCCTAAAAAACACACGTCCAGGGGAGGAGAGAGCCAAGTAAAAACAAATGAATTGCAAGTATGACTACCTAAGCATTAGAAAAGCACAGAGGAGAGAGGTTTCTTCCATTTTATGACTCAGATTTTCTGGTGTTAAGTTAATATGTTTATTATATTGATGACACATTTTCAGAGTCATATTAAAGGAGAAAAAAATACAGATGAATCCATTGATTGTTGGATTCAGTCAACAAATATTTACTGAATGACTCGTTTTGTCATTGTGCCATTGTAGGGAAACAAAAACGATAACCTTCAAAGGACAGAAAATTAGTGTCTGATTGTAAAACTCCCAGTAGAAGCAGTTCACTGTGATTCATACAGCACAGTGATACAGAGTGCTTAACATATTCCTCAGTAATTATGTTGGGAGTCAGAGATCATAAAGTGTGTGTGTATGAGAGTAAGCACTTTCATTTTGTGGTTGTGGCTACATAATGCTAATTCCATCTTGTTTTACTAAGAGTACACAAAGATGTGTTACACTGAAGAAATGTTTCCCTAAGGCAGTGGCTCTGCAGGCATGGATAGTGACTTAGGGGCTTCATGATGTCCTCGGTCAGAGATGTAATGGAAAAGGTCAGTGTTCTTCAGTAATCTTCCACCACTATCCCAGGCTAAGGGACATCTTCCGTGAGAGAGAGTTGGGTGCATGCAGATTAAATGGTATGTGACAGCAGATCAGAGGCTGACTATGGAAAAAATCTATGAAGAATCATAAAGGCTAGAGGTGATGAAGATTTTAAAACTAGAAATAATCATTTTATTTCTAAGTCTGTAAGGGGGTATTTTGAAGCAATTTTGGACTATTGTTTCTCTCACTTCCCATGAGGAAATATATTAGCCCCTGCGTTGCTGCCCATCATCCATTCTAGTCTTCTCTCATTATGTAGCAGCCTAAGGTTTAGATGGGACTGACTCCATCCCTCAATCAACTTGAATAATCCCGTCCTCCTTACCTACTGATTGGTTCATTGGCAGCCAGGGAGGTCTGCATAGAGGAGGATGATTGACTAGACTTTGAAAGCAGAGCAGAATTTTGGTAAGTGGAAAACAAATCCTGGTAAAAGTAAAGAAATAGCAGTATGCAAGGTTTGTTCCGGGACTATAAGCAACCCTTTTTAACTATAGCAAAATGCCATACTGTCTATCTACCAGAGCTGCCCAAGTGATTAAATTCAATTCTTACATTCAGTAAGCAATTATTGAGTGGTGCATAGGACTGCACTAAGTAATAGACTGGCTCCAAAGGAAGTTGCCTTAAGGTTGAAAACCCCCACTGTAAAGATGAACCCATTGATTTTGGAACTAAAAAGGCTTAAGACATAATCTAGCACAATCCATTCTCTTTCAAATACAGAAACTGAGGCTCTGATAACTTAAGTAAATGGAAGCAGCAAAGCATGCAGGGTAAAGTACAAGTTGTAAGAGTCATTTGAACCCTCTTACTTTATTTTCCATCACAGGAAAGTGGCAGTACTAGCAGGAAAAGGTGTAGTACAGGGACATAGCATAGGCAAAGCACCTCGGACAAAAGAGATCCTGAATACATATCCCCTTTCATTTCTTTCTTCACTTTATTGTCACTAACCCAGTAATTCTGTGGTAGGGCTAGGACTAACTCTGTCCTGACTCCAAAGACATCTTCCTGCACAGGGCAGCGATCCATTGTTGGAAATCCCATGAGAAGGAACCACAAAGGCCTGCCACTCTCTCTAGAAATGAGCAGCTATCTTCCCAAACTCATCTTGTTGTCTTGTGCATATACCAAGCTCACTCTCTTCTCTAGACTTGTTTCCTAAACTCACCCCTACAAGAATGCTTTTCTTCCTCCTTTCCAACTGTCCAAATCCTCTCATTCACTTACTTATTCATTCATACAGTCAGTCTGAATAGAATCGGAGAGTCATCAAACATTTATTGAGTAGTTATGTGGTCCGCCCAGGGCTAGAATTTGAGATTACAGCTCCAGAGAGAACAGCCCTGCCTTTAAGAAGTCCAGCTGGAGTCAGTCTAGTTGGAGCACAGATACATCACTCCACAAGTTCAGGGATAATGTTGTAGAGGTATGGGTATGATATCTCAGGAACATTGGCTGAGAGAAGTTAAAGTCTGCCTGAAAGGACTCTGCCATTGTTCTACTCCAGTTACACATTCATCGTGCTCTTCTCTGCCTCCTATTACACAGAGATGGCCACACACAGTTGAGCCCATAGTTTGCATGCTGATTCCTATCATTGTAGTGATGCTGGACTGTGCACAGGTATAAGGTATAGCCAGAAAGGACCAAAGCAATCCAGGCAAACAGAGTAAATCAAGGAGGTACCTCAGGTTTATCTGGAAAAGCAATGGGTGCCCAGGGGTAGAGGGTGGATAATTCCTTCCCTAACAAACTTTATGAAGGACCTGCTATAGAGTTCCTATATCGTGGATGCAGTCAGAATTATCTGGAGAGCATATGAAAAATACAGATACCTGGAGTCTAAACCTAGATGATGGAAGCAGGATCTTTAGGGATGAAGCGCAGGCACATGGAATTGTAAGTGAATTATGATTGATTCTGGTGATTAATTAGTAGGGGTTGGGAAGCACTGGTCTACTTTGTGCAACACATGTGCAGAACACTGAGAATACAAACATGAATAAAACACAACAAGCCTTATTCCTGAATTAGAAGACAAGTCTCTGCTCTAGCAAAACTGATAGTCAGTTGGGAGAGACAGGAAATTCAAGATACACAGTCCCAGACAAGATCTTAGAGATAGGTACAAAGAGAGGTTGAAAGAGAAATGGGAAGGGACAACTCAATTTTGGGAAGGAGGGGAAGCTTCCTAGGAGAGGTAGCATTTGAGATGAGACATACAGGATGTTTAGGGGTCTTCCAGATGAAGGAGGTAGAGAAGGAGATGCATCCTAAACACAGGCCTGAGCCTCCAGCTGCCGAGGGACTTGGCCAGCAGGTCAGATAATCCAAGAGAGAAGCCTGAGAAATGTTAGGGTGCTTACATCCGAGGTAGGGTTCTTACCTGTGACTGAAGTGGAGACTGTGATGCTACAGCGTGTGTCACTGATTGACAGCTGTTTCATACTCCACTTTCATTTCTTTTGACCAGACATTTTCTGGATGTCTTTGTGCCTAGGAGACAGCCATAAACAGAATTTGCGATGAGAACACACCAGAGGGGCAACACTTCCCTCAAATTTGAAGCCAAAGAAAACCTCCCTGAGGAAAGTCTGAATTAATGAAACTAACGTAAGAGGGGAGAAGGGCAAAAGGGGCCGAGTCATTCTGCAAGTGCAAGGCCTGGAGATGGGAATGAGGTTGCACATTCAAGGGCCTTCAAGTTCAGTGTTCTGGAGCAAAGCAGCACGGAGAGATGGTGGCTGTGGAGAAGGCTGGGGAGGAAGATGTTCTCCAAGCTCTGAAAAGGCTTCTTAAGCTCTGCTGGAGTGTAGACTTCATCTAGTTGGCACTGGGGGACCTGATTGTTTTATGCAGGCAGTGACAGGGTCTGATTGACTTCTGTGAAATTCAGAGCACTCTGAGAATATATATTTTCTTTCTCCAACAAAATTGTAAGTATACTTTCAACAAGGATCATATCTTGATTCTTTCTTTTTTTTTTTTTTTTTTTTGCTAGGAGTGCTTAAAGAGTTTAAAGACACATTTTAAAAGATCAGTAGTTAATGGATTTATTAAATAACTGAAAGGCACAGACCCTGTACTTGAGTTAATGTCATAATATGGACACAGCATTCCTATGTGGTACCTGATACTTAAAGATCTCAAGCATTCGTAAGCTGTGCTTCTCAATTTTAACATGTACACATCACCTGGGGCTCTTG